TCTCAGGTGCCTTGTTTACTTGATCACCCGAGGTAGCTCCCAGGCACTTGCCCTTGGAGCTGAGACAGCCTGCTGTCCTGGGGCCCTCACAAGGTCCCCCATTCCCCAGGCGCTTCATTCCTTTGTCCCACTAGTTGGATTCCTGCCCCATCATGTGGTGCACCCTGTCCACTGTCAGGCTGTCTGCTCCCCTGCTTGAGGCCCTTTGGGCTCCGATGAGATCACAGGATTGATCTCTACTGGCATAGAAAGCTTTTTGTGCAAGTAGAGGGGTTTTGATGTCTGTCTGAGCTGCTATTCTAATCCTTGTTTGGATTAATACTTCACCACTGAATGGAATTACAGCACGAGGGTTATAAATGGAAACCTTGCTGTAACAGCATGGCTGTGTTCTCAGCGTCTCACTCTTCGTGTAACAGTGTGGCTGGTCCTCTTCCCTTGATGCAGGTGTATCCCAGCTTTCTGTATTTTTGTTAATGGCGTCGCCTCCAATGAACTCTGGTCTGGAAGGATAATGGAGTCAGATGTGTAAACCCCGCCCACCAGGCTAAGAGAACCTGTTTTCCCTTCGAAACGATCTTTTTTAAGTTTACAAAAGTTTGCACTTGGATTAATAATGACAACACTGTTCTAAATCTGGCTTTTGTTAATTGATAATGTGAAATTTCTCCTTCAGATTTGAAGTTTCACTAGTGATCAAGTCAAGCCTTTGCTAACTAGAGTTTGTTGGTTGAAGGTAAAAGATTAATGTAATAATAAAACATTTTTCTTTCTGAAATAAAATGTGGTCGCCATCGTAAATGCTGCTGGCAGCCCTCCCTTATGCTCCTCTGAACGTTAAGATTTTGCAAATCCTTTTCTCTATGTGTATTCTATTCAGGAATGCCAGGTGGGCATTTACAGGTTTAAGGGCAGGTCTGCTTTTAGAGACAGGTGACAGCACCCTGTCGTGTCCTTCTCTCACCCAGCGCCTGTGTTCTTTGCAGCCACCAAGGAAGACAGGAGGTCCGAGGAGAGAGCGGCAGCCACGGCAGCCTCCAAGAAAACGGCCCCTCCGGGCTCCGTGCCGGGCAAGCAGCTTGCGCCTAGAAATCTCGTGCCAAAGAAGCCTTTTGCTAATGTGGCAGCGGCCAAACCAGCCATTAAAAAGTCACCCTCAGGCTTCAAGGGCACCATCCCCAAGAGGTCATGGCTGTCAACTACCCCATCAAGTGGTGCTTCCACTGCCAGGCAGGCAGGACCGGCACCCGCAGTGGCAACGGCAGCCTCCAAAAAGTTCCCCGGCTCTGCTGCTCTGGTGGGAGCTGTAAGGAAGCCAGTGGTACCTTCTGTTCCCACCGCCTCGCCTGCCCCGGGACGCCTCGGGGCCATGGGTGCAGCACCGTCGCAGCCAAATTCACAAATTCGGCAAAATATCAGACGCTCGTTAAAAGAGATTTTGTGGAAAAGGTGGGCTGTTCCGCTTGATTTGTTGGCCACTAAAATGGAGGGGCTTTCATTAGCATGTGGTTGCAGCATTGCCTCACGGCTGAAAAGGTTGAATATGCGCAAGTGGCTTATGCAGTTCCTTTTTCTGTTCCGTTCAGAGTCAATGACAGCGACGACTTAATCATGACAGAAAACGAAGTAGGGAAAATCGCCCTCCATATCGAGAAGGAGATGTTCAGCCTGTTTCACGTCACGGACAGTCGCTACAAGAGTAAATACCGAAGCATCATGTTCAACCTGAAGGACCCTAAAAACCAGGTGTGTGCCTGACGACGGGACGTTGCGTTTCCTGTGCTCTTTGCTGGACACGAAAGGGACAAACCAAACTATTGAAACGTTTGTGTCCTTCCCAGGAAAGCTGAGAAGTCTCTCTCTCCTCCGTGACCCTTCTGCCAGCCTGGGTTGGGTTGTATTGGCGTTGAGGGTCTTGGAAGCCCCTTCCCTTCCCTGCCTAGCGGGGGTCCTGTCTGCTCACTGGCTTCCCTCAAGTCCATCTTTGATCACTAAATTGGTCTTCTCTAAACATTGCTGTAAAATTACAAGCCAGTCACTTCACTGGTTCCAAAATCAAGTCCAAATTCTTTATCCCAGTATATGAGGGTGTCCATATTCTGGATTCAGACGGCCTTTTCCACTCTATTTCCTCATGTTCCTCATCAGCAGAGTGAGCCTGAGGGTTTGGGCTGCTTTTGAGCATTTTCAACACTTGGAGCAGGGGCTGCTCACACTCAGGGTGGGGTCACTCCGTCCTCACTGCATTGTGGGGCGGATGGTGCTCATCCTACACAGCGAGGACAGGAACTCCAGTTGGGAGGGACAGGCCACCTGCCTGATGGGCTCCTCTTGCCATGGGCCTTACAGCTTTCTGGTGTTCTCCATGGCCTCCAGACTCTTCCCTGTTTAGAATTTTAGGATATTGAAATCCTCCGACTTTGCATTTCACCATGGAACAGCCCCCAAGCAGAACTGGTTCCTTCCTTCCTTCATCCTTGACACTGTCTTTTTGACCTGTGTCCACGTTGTATACACGATTGTTTTTCTGAGGTGTTGTGTGTTTTGCTTTTTTAGCAGAACCAACGCAGCCCAGGCCGTGAAAACTGCTGTTTAGCCTTTTAGCACCTGTGCTCTCTGGCCCTGCATTTGCTCACAGCAGGGATGGCCCAGGGTGCACTCTCACAAGGTCATTTGGGGAGTTAAGAGAGGTCACACCCTTCAGAGCTCTGCCCAGTGCCACAGCGAGTGGGTCCTGGGGGCCTTTGTCCTGTGCCCACTGAACTCCTGGGCAGCTCTGTTTTCCATAAGCTCTCCGTATTGACAGATACACGAATATTATTTGAGTAAATGAAAAATACTTGTTTACAGGGACTTTTCCATCGTGTTCTGCGGGAGGAAATCTCTTTGGCAAAACTTGTGAGAATGAAGCCTGAAGAACTTGTATCTAAAGAGCTTTCCACGTGGAAAGAGAAGCCGGCGAGACCTGTGAGTGCTGAGCAGGCTGCGGAGGCGCCCAGGACGCGCGTTTCACAGAAACCAGTTCACAGACAGTTTGCATGAGTGATGCTTTCCTCCTTAGAAAACAAGGCTTGAGCTCGGTTTTGTCTTTCTCATTTCAGGTGATGGAGCCCAGGACTAAAGTGCACAGTGAAAGTAAGAAGGTGGCCGCCAGGCAGGAGGTCATCCCCGACATGGAGGACTCTCCGCCAGTGTCGGATTCCGAGGTGAGCGCTTGGGAGTTTCTGTGTTCACCAAGAACAGACCCATTCATCACAAATGTGTTCAGGTATCTGAATGCTTGGGCAGGACACTGAGCTAACAGCAGGTGTGTGCCATTGTGGTATTCCTCAGGCCTTGTATTCTTCCCCCATGCGTCTCAGTCCCATGAGACTGCTTTTCTTGTGGGTTTTTCTTTTTTTGAGACCAAGTCTCGCCTTGTCACCAGGCGCCAGGCTGGAGTGCAGTGGCATGATCTCGGCTCATTGCAACCTCCACCTCCCGGGTTCAAGCAATTCTCCTGCCTCAGCCTCCCGAGTAGCTGGGACTACAGGCGCGTGCCACCACATCCAGCTAAATTTTGTATTTTTTCGTGGAGACCAGGTGTCACCATGTTGGCCAGGATGGTCTTGATCTCTTGACCTCGTGATCCACCCATCTTAGCCTCCCAAAGTGCTGGGATTACAGACGTGAGCCACCGCGCCCAGCCTTCTTGTGTGTTGTTAATTTGGAGCTGAGTTTGGAAAATAGATGACCTCATTTTTTTCCTTTTACTTTTAGGAACAGCAAGAGTCAGCACGTGCTGTCCCTGAGAAGAGCGCAGCGCCCCTCCTCGACGTCTTCAGCAGCATGTTGAAAGACACCACCAGTCAGCACCGCGCACACCTCTTCGATCTCAACTGCAAAATCTGTACAGGTGAGCACAGTTTGGGGGATGGCGCCTTGGAGCTGAGACTTCACTTGATTTTGTTAAAAATCACTGCATCCCGGCCGGGCGCGGTGGCTCAAGCCTGTAATCCCAGCACTTTGGGAGGCCGAGGCGGGTGGATCACGAGGTCAAGAGATCGAGACCATCCTGGCCAACATGGTGAAACCCCGTCTCCACTAAAACTACAAAAAATTAGCTGGGCATGGTGGTGCGTGCCTGTAATCCCAGCTACTCAGGAGGCTGAGGCAGGAGAATTGCCTGAACCCAGGAGGCGGAGGTTGCGGTGAGCCGAGATCGCGCCATTGCACTCCAGCCTGGGTAATAAGAGCGAAACTCCGTCTCAAAAAAAAAAAAAAAAAAAAATCACTGCATCCCTCTCAAAGCAACTGCACCTAAGCCAAGCTTAGACACACAGAAAGGCCGGAACGATTCCCTGCCTTGCCTTCAGTGTTGCTTTTGGCTTTTGGTGAGAAGCACTCGTGGGCCGGCTGGGTTTCTCACGGAGACTTTCCTCACCTTCTTCAGGCCAAGTTCCCTCCGCAGAAGATGAGCCAGCTCCGAAAAAACCAAAATTGTCAGTTCCTGTTAAGAAAGAAGACTTAAAACCCAAGCATGAGAGCCCTGCACCTGACCCTGCTCCTGATTCAGCTGATGAGGTGATACCGGAGGCGCTGCCTGAAGTTGCCCCTGAGCCGGGCCTGGAAAGTGCTTCTCATCCAAACGTGGATAGAACCTATTTCCCTGGGCCTCCAGGAGATGGCCATCCTGAGCCCTCCCCGCTGGAAGACCTGTCCCCCTGCCCAGCCTCCTGTGGGAGCGGAGTAGTCACCACTGTCACAGTGTCCGGCCGGGATCCCAGGACCGCTCCAAGCAGTTCCTGCACAGCCGTGGCCTCCGTAGCGGCCCGCCCAGACAGCACCCACATGGTGGAAACCAGACAAGATGTGCCAAAGCCTGCCTTGACTTCTGTGATGGTGCCCAAGTCCATATTGGCTAAGCCGTCTTCATCCCCTGACCCAAGATATTTGTCAGTTCCTCCATCACCAAATACCAGGTACGTACTCAGGTGTGGTCTGAACAAGCCAAACTTGTTTTTAGATGAACAGAAGGAAAGTCTGGTGATTTAATAGTTGAACCCTGAAATTTCACCCGAAATACAACTTTACTCTTTCATCTTTTAGAAAGCCCCAGTTTTAGGGTGCCCTCTTGTCATTTTGGAAGTAAAGGTCTTAGCAATTTAGATTTAAATTTATACTCATCCAGTTTCTTGCCTATTCATTTTTCTTTAATCAAGATGTCTATATTATTATAATTAATTAATCAGCAAAAGTAAACTGCCAAAATGTAAAACTTGACAAAAGAGTTCACTATTGATTTTAAATATAAAGTCTTTGTACTCTTGAGGCTAGGCACGGTGGCTCACACCTGGAATCCCAGTACTTTGAGGGGCAGAGGTGGGAGATTTGCCTGAGCCCAGGAGTTTGAAACCAGCCTGAGCAACATGGTGAAAAATACAAAAATTTAGCCAGGTGTGGCAGTCACCTGTAGTCCCAGCTACTTGAAAGGCTGAGGTGGGAGGATCGCCGGAGCCCAGGAAGTGGAGCCTTCACCCAGCAGTGCTGCACCACTGCACTCCAGCCTGTGCGACAGAATGAGGTTCCGTCTCAAAGAAAAACCTTTATGCTTTTGAAATTCTCATTGCACGGAGAGACACTGACTTTTATTTTTATGGTTTTGTTTTATAGCACATCAGAATCGCGGTCCCCTCCAGAGGGAGACACAACCCTCTTTTTGTCTCGACTCAGCACCATCTGGAAAGGATTTATCAACATGCAGAGTGTGGCAAAATTTGTCACTAAGGCGTATCCCGTCTCCGGGTGTTTTGACTACCTCAGTGAGGTTAGAAACAAGAAAACATGTGTGTGTGTGTGCGTGCGTGTGCGTGTGCATGTATGTCTTTCATTGGAATTTCTATACTAGAGTCAAACACATGATTTTCTCCCTTAATTCACCGGGTAGGAAAGAAAGAAAAATGTGTGACACCCCTGCAACTGACTGTCTGGATATAGAAGCACCTCCAAATGCAAAGTGGCAATTGCTGTGATGAGTCAGCAGTTGGGACAGGGTCAGAAACGCGAGCCTGCAGTCTAGCATCTCAGTGATGGGTTTCGCCGGGGTGCTGACACAGCCCCAGCGTAGCCAGGTGTTCAGATCCTGCTTCACACACACCTGGCCACATGTGGGGTGGCACATATGACCCTATGGCAGGCCTTTTAGTTTTCAAAATGAACCAAAAAGCAGCACTAGCATTTATGACCTTCATGCAGGGAGTCACCGGGGCTCATGTGCAAATCGCTACTCTTGGTGTATGTACAGAAAAGATAACATAGAAGTGTTGCCCAGCCCTTTCTAAACACAACCTTGTTTGGCAGAAGGCTGGCATCGTACTCCCCTTGGATTTGGTAACTTGTGACCTTGGATTTAATACAGCATTTATTGCAAGTATGACTGTCATCCTTGGAATCGTTGTGGTCTTCTTGAACCTTGGATGGTACAGTGCCTTAAAGTGACTATGTTGATCTTTTTGTGACTGCTACAGTTTGACCAGTTATTTACTCAAAGTCCTTTTTGTTTAGGATTTGCCTGACACAATTCACATTGGTGGGAGGATCGCACCGAAGACAGTTTGGGATTATGTTGGCAAACTCAAGTCTTCTGTGTCTAAGGTATCCGCTTGCAGTATACATTCTATAACCATGGAAGACAGTGTTTAAACACGTCTTTTTTTAACCTCTCATTTTGATGGGTTAACACTTAAAATGTTAGCCTGTAACTCATTAGATATTTCCAGGTGAATGTTAAAAATTAAGTTTTGCAGTGAGCTGAGATCACACCACTGCACTCCAGCCTGGGAGACAGAGCAAGACTGTCTCAAAAAAAAAAAAAATTATATAGTTGTGTTACTGTGTGAAGGTGTTTGAGTAATACAATGGTAGAAGGTTGTTTCTGATTCATTATCATGTATGTGCAGTTAAAGTTTAGTAAGAAATGTAATACTTACCTGGCAGGGGAGATACCAGAATCACGAAGGTGGTTTTCCCAGGGCGAGGCTTATCCATTGCACGTCGGATGTGCTGACCCCTTCGATTTCCCCAGATGCGAGAAACTTGACTGCATAATTTGTGGTAGTGAGGGACTACGTTTGCACTTTCCCCTGAATTATTTTTTAAGAAAAGAAATATATAAGCTTTATTTTCTTATTTTTTTATGATTGAAGGAGCAGAAGGTATCTGTTGCGGGGGTGATCAGGCTCAGGGCACTCAGCCTGGGCTCCTGAACGGTCTTGGTTTTCTGGGACCCCCTGAGATGTAGCTACAGCTGTGCATGTCTGTATGTGGTTTTCTTTCGGGAGGCCCTAGTTTTCGTCATGTTCACGAAAGGTCTAGACCCTGTCGTCTAGTTTAACCCTCTGGAGAGGTCAACAGACAGCCATTGCACATCACACAGCTGGTTCCTCATGACTGGGGCCGTCATGCACGTAGTAAAAGCTGGCTCTGCTCCAGACACTGCCGGGCTCACATGTCACACGAGTTGCCTCACTGATACAGGAACTCTGTGAGATCGTGGCTGAGTAGGAGAGATTTGAAAAGGTGAATTGGGCAAGTGATGCCTGCGTCTGCTTTATGAGTGCCTCCCACTCTGTTCCACTGCAGGAGCTCTGTCTGGTCCGCTTCCACCCTGCCACGGAGGAGGAGGAGGTCGCCTATATCTCTCTGTACTCCTATTTTAGCAGCCGTGGCCGCTTTGGCGTTGTAGCTAATAACAACAGGCACGTCAAGGACCTCTATCTGATCCCGCTGAGCGCCCAGGACCCTGTTCCATCCAAACTCTTGCCCTTTGAGGGACCAGGTAAGCACCGGCTTTCTGGGTGGAGGTGAGGCCTACCTGGCACCTGCACCGCTCCTCCCACTGACATGCCCTGCTGAGTCTTGACCAGCCCAGGGCTCTCCAGGAGCAGCAGTTAAGAGCACAGACAAAGCCATTAGCAATAGAATTCATCTTTTAGGGCATAGGACTGCGGCACAGAAAGAATCCCCTATTTGTAGCATAAATTATCTTAGAAGAGTTTTTTAGAGAGGGAAAGACCCACAGCTTGCAGCTAGCTCATCCTGGCCTCAGATCAGAGAAGCCTCAGTGCCCAAGGGTCCGCTGGAAAGGGAGGTGACATCCCAGCGGTCCTGTTCTTCCCTCTAGATGGACTCAGGAGCCAGCACACACCAGGAAGTGGCTCCGTCACAGGCCACTTCTCTAACAGAGATGGATTTCCAGGAGATCTAAACATAGTGACATAGAAAACTATTTCTAGAAAGAATTACTTTTAATCTGCGGCTCAGATTCTAACAGGTTCGTTCATCTCTGGTAGGCTGCTTTGTGTCTGCACAGTCCTTGGAAGGTACTACATTTAAACAATGATTTGCGAATAGCCTAAATACATCTTACTTGTCAAGGGTTGAGGGTGATTCCAGGGGCCACATGCTCTGGTAGTGACCAGCTCTCTTGTAGCTCCTTCAAAGAGGCTGATGTGACTTCAGTTAGGGATTCATGTCAGAGGCCAACTCAGGTGTCTCTATGGCCATGCGGTCCCCAGAGGATCGATGTTACCTAAACATGGGTATGTGGATCAGTGTCCTTCCTCTAAAGTGCTTTGTCACAAAGGCAGGTGCTGTCTAGACCCTGGGCTTCAGTGCCCTCTGTCCCTGTCACCAGGCTTCCGCCGGTGTTCCTGCCACAGTGTGCAGGGTGTCCCACCCTCAGCCCTTGAGAGCTGGGGTCCTGTAGGGGCCACTCCACATCCTGGGTGGGACTTCTGTCGCCCGAGGCACAGCCCACGTTCCCACTGGAGTCCATTCTTCACACGGCATGGCCTCGGCTTATGCCTGTGTTGTGGAATGGTATGTCCTTAAAGGTATTGGTTGGTATCAGTCATTTCAAGGTTAAATATTTGCTGGCATGGCGCATTAAATTATTTTAGTGCCAGATACATTTTTAAAAGCAAAGTGCTTTAGTGTGTGCCCTCAAATCCTCCTTGGGGTAGAGAGATGCCATCTAACGGGTGGCAGAAAGGACCCGGGTAGAGGCTCTTGGTGACGCTTGTGAAGAGCTCTGGCCAGCTCCCACATGAGCAGGGAGAGGAAAAACCCAGCTCTCCTGGAGGTGAAGACCGAGAAGCTGACCTCCGGTACCTGCGAAGACCCACTGGTCAGTCGCAAGTGCGACGGCGTGCCTGTGGAGTCTGTGAGCGCGGGAGCCTTTCGCTGCAGATACCGCCGCCCCTCAGCACCTCTCTCCGGGGTGGAAAGGGCACTTGTTGTTCATAGATACCAAGCCTCCCCTTTTTAAAACAATTGAAGTCATACTTCATCCTTTCCTGAGCTCCTCTCCCTGCTCCAGCCCCAAACCTGGAGCTGTCAGGTGAGCACGGCGGTAGGAGTGCTGAGTGAGCCCCGGCGCATGCCGGGCACGGGTGCAGCAGGGCCTCGAGGGGATCTCCACTGTGGGCATTGGCAGGGCCCAGGGAGGCCACCCGAGGAGTGGAGCCCCATTTTCCCCAGAGCAGGGGCTGGCTGTGCAGGTGCAGTGCTGGGCAGAGGGAAAGGACAGGTCTCCTGGCACCTCCCGGATGGCACTGGGACAAGGAGGGCTGGGCTGGGGCACTCACCTTGTCTGCTGAGTGCAGTGGCGCCAGTCACCCACACTGTCAGCGACCAGCTCGGGGGGGGGACGTGACACTTGCCCACCAAGGCACTCACTGAGGCCGTGACATTGCCTCACAGGGACACACAAAGGCCCTGGGGACTGTGACCCACGATAAAGAGCAGAGACACCTGGGTAAAGTAACACAGGATGAGGGGTTCTAGAAAAGTAGCAGGGAATGAAACTTTTCCATACACTGCAGCAATGTTTTAACTTAAGACCAGTATAATTTTATATTCTCCTAACGCCCCTGTTGACATGAATATGTGTACATGAAATCTCACACACTTCCATGGCGACTAAACAGCCTTGACCCTGGGCCAGGCCACTGGCTACTTGGCCTGCTTCACATGTTGATTACTTGACTTGGCATTTTCTAGATATAAATATGTACATGTATGTCCTGGCTTTGTGGCGTGTGTGTGTGTGTGCGCGCGCGCGGTGTGTGTAAGGTTAAGTGCTGGCACGTTCCCTCTGTCTCAGCCTCTGCCCAGAAGCCTTTGGACAGCACAGGCCACACCTAAGGGCGCTGGTGGTGATTCCACAGAGCCATGGTTGGGGTGAGCTGTGCTGCATGGCCTGGAGTCACGCCCCGGAAGTGGTGGGCGAGGGCCTGAGGGCCCAGCTCCGTTCCAGACCTTGCTGTCCTCGCCAGGGCTGTCAGCCTCAATTCTCCGTGCCGCGTGCGGCGCGTGCAGTGCAGGCCTGAAGGAGACCTGGCACTCCAGCCCTGAGTTGCGCATCCGCGTCGGGGCACTGACGTAGGAGCAGACGGAGTCCATCCCCTGGGGGTGTTAAGGAGAAAGTCCCATTGGGTGTAAAGATTCATGCAGAAGAGTGACCAACTTATCTGTGTGCCTCAGTTTATACCACGCAATTGCAGGTGTCCCTGCCTCCCAAACATGGGGGTCCGGTGGGTTTTAACAGCACGGTGTCCAGTCCCAGCCCCTCAGTGCTTCCTGTTCACACTGAAGCAAGTGAAGACCTCCAGGTGCCCAGCTGTGCCCTCGGGGAAACCAAGTCACCCACTTGGCCAGCAGTTGGCCATGTCAGGCAGGCAGTGAGAGTGGAGCTGCCCCCGCAGCATCCTCAGGAGCCATGCAGTTCACAGCAGTAGCTGGATCTACCTGAGGACATTTGTCCTTGCATATCTTCGTGATTTGCCCCCAAAACACTGGGTTGTCTTACTTTGCCCCTCAGTGGCACCCTCTGTAACTCAGCATCCCTGGGGAGGCAGCTGGGAGGTCTGGGTGTGCTGGTCCAGGCGGCCTTCTCCACCGAGGTGTTCTCCCCACTCTACCAGCAGGGCCCCCCGTGGGGACTGGGGTCGCAGTCTCGGCCTGTCTTGGGGCCTTCTTCACGGAAAGGAGATGAGTTGGGTAGGAAGCTCATCACGTAGGGTTCTGTGTGAGGCCCTCACAGGACTGGACCGCAGCCAAGGATGCCTGCCTGTTAACCATGCCCAACCCCTATCATTTCCACGTGAAGCCACAGGCCTCAGAGCCTTGGTCTGAAACGCCTGTTGAGTAACCGTGGTCCATAAACACAGGTGCACAGTCTGCGTCCTCCCCGAGTCCAGGGCAGGAGGAAACGCCGCCCTCTGTAGCTGCTCTAGTGGAAAGGGCTCTTTTCTCTGAGATTTTTATACACTAGAAAGCTCTTCTGGGAAGAATGTTCGAATCCATAGTGCCTTTCTGTATTCACTTTTAACTGCTTTTTAAACTAGCTGAGAAATTCTGACTTGAAATATTGTCAGGTAAGCATTTCTTCAGTTTTCGTGTGTGTATGTAATAGTAGTTTCATGGAAATTGTAATCAGAGTCAAATACAGTATTGAATCAAATGTACTGCCTTCTCCTCCTAAATCAATAAAAAGATTTCGTGGAAACTGGTCCTTGTTTGTTTGAATTGGAGCCATTTGGTGGCTCTTGGTCACCTATCCTAGGCCCCCCTTTGCTCTTCGTAAGCCAGCGCAGTGCAGGCTGGTGCTGCCCTGGGGCCCTTCTCGGCACCCGCGCGCCTGGAAGAAGATGGACACCGCTCTCCCCCTCCCTGAAACGTGCTGGACCCAGTGGCTTTGTGCAGGCCTAGGGATTCCCAGTTGGAAGATGGGGCTCTGTGTGTGTGTGAGTGGGTGTGTGTGGTGGGTTGGGGGAAGTAGGCGTCTTCCCACCTGATTTGCCGAGTCTTTCTACCCAAGTCATAATTCACAACCCTTGTTGATTAACTTCAGTTTCTGTTCCAGCAGGTGTGAACATTTTGTTTCGACAGATGCAGACCAGTAAGAGAGTTTTCATTTGAAATAACTGATGGTAGGATGTGCTCCAGGCCTCACTGTGATAGCTTTGGGGTTGGGAGGAGTCAGATTTCGGGTGGTTCATTTAGTAAGATGGAGCGTCTTCCTGCAGCCTCAGGGTCAGTAGTGAGGGGCTGCCTCCTGCACCCTGAGAAGCAGGTGGTCCCCTTCACCAGCTGCCTTGTCTCCCAGCCCCTGTTGCCAACACACCTGGACACAGCTCCTGGCTCAGTCTTGGCACACTCAGCTCTGCAGATGCCCCCTTCGTCCTGTGTCTAGAGCTCTTTTCCTGCGCATGTGGTCGGTTTCTGACCACAGGGTCTGTCGAGACTCCTCCATGAATGTGCAAAGGACACAGCCATGGCGCTGAAAAGGCCTGTTTGCTGCACATGATACACCCTGAAGAAAACCATCTACCCTCTGGCCTTTGAGAGGGTGTTGGGGGGACGTCCACACCCCTGTTCCAAGCCTGCTCAGCACCCTTCAGTGGAAGTGCAGGGCACGTTTAGCCACAGCTGGTGTCTCCGGGTCCTGGCCCCTGGTTGCTCATGGCCGCCTGCTTTATGAACTGAGGACCCTCAGCAGCCCTCAGGAGGGAGGTGGGTAAGTAAGCCTGCTGTGCCCTGTGCTGCCCGCCGCCTGGCTGGTGCCAGCTTCACGCAGGCCTCAGTCTCTGCACCTTCCCAGGGCGCACTCCCTCCCAGGGCTCACACACACCACGGGGTGGCTGCTGAGGGGCGAGCCTGGGCACAGCTCTGGGCAGCCTCTAATGCCCCCTCCCCAGGTGGGGGCTCTGTGACCTTTTGACCTTCCTGGTCTAGACGGGCCAGGCACTCTTGTGCACACCCTCTCCTCCCAGGGAAGATGGCTCCCAAGGTCCAGGCCAGGCGAACAGCACTGCTCCTTTCACGAAGAGTCATTTCCAAGGTGCCGGTCACATTTTACATAGCCATGCAACCATAATAACAAAAATGAGTTGGGTGACAAGATTTGACTGTTGCACAGTGGGTGTGCATTTGGGGACAGCCCAATTTAAATCGTAAGTCTCAGGGGATTCAGAACGTACGCCCATCTGACTGCAGCTTTATCCAGTCGCCAGTGTCTGCAGACGAGAGCACCTACACGTGCCAGCCATGCGCTGGCCGCCAGTCTCCAGAGGGCTGCTGTGTCCAAGACTAAAGAATCTTGCCAGCGCTGGGATATACTAAATTTTTTTTCGTTAACAAGCAAATTAGCCATTAAAAGTTTGCGTTGGAGTGGCACACCACGAGACAGAGGCACGTAACAGTGACTTTGTACAGCGCACCACCACCCTGACCGAGCTTGCGTAGCTGAGCATCTCCCTTGGGTAGCATGGCCCCTCTGTGTCAACGAGCCAGCACTGGGCTCCCCCAGGCGACTTCCCCACACCGAGGCCCCACAAGCCCCACTGTCCAGGGCCCCTCCTGAGGCCTAGCCCACGGCTGTGTCTGTTCTAGTGTCCAGTTCTGTGGGAAAGAGCCTGGCTTACAGGGCCCGGCCTACAGGAGCTCAGCCTGAGCCTCAGGGCCCCTCCCACTTGGGCGTGGTGGGCTCTGCAGACATGTGGTCCGGGAAAGCCATAATAGCCAATTTCACAATCGACCATACCCAAAAAGCAGATTTCAGTAAGCGATGTAATAGCTTATTCAGTAAATAAATTGCTGTTGTGGTGAGAGCAGCACTATTTTAAGCTAACCTGTGTTGAACTCATATTCATCAGAATGAACTTGACAAGCTGCCCTTCACATTTGCTGAGCAGCAGAGCCCAGGTGCACCCCTCGGTGTGGCCCACCTGGCTTTCCTGCTTCCCTCCTGTGCCCACCCATCCCTTTCACTGGCACCCTGCTACCATCCGGGGGACAGAGCAGAGGTGGAGTTGAGGTGCTGGGATACCTCACCCTTCCTGACAGCCTGTGAGGGAACAGACCCTTTGGCCCTCTCTCCAGGAGGGAGGGAGCAACATGCTGTCAGCCCCCATGGGGCAGGCTGGTCCCAACTCAGTCTGGCAGGCCTGGTGTTCCTTAAGGGCAAGGCAGACACCCGCCTACCCTCCATGCTCAACCTGTCCATCAACTCCTTGGTGGGATTTGGGGAGATCAACAACAAAGGTATTTAGAGCTACATAATGGTGCCTATCCAGACGGCTGGCTACCTGAAGTGACCTGTGCTGATCTTTAATATCACCGGAAGCACGGGAAATCGCACTGGTTCTCTTTGGAAGGGGAGAAAAGGCTGTCGTGTGAGCACCTTTTTTATACCGCAGTAAGGTTAGATTGTACACCGAGCTTCTGCGGTTTAGTTTCAAACACGATGCTGCTGAGACCTTCCCCGTATGCCACAGTGAGGTTAGATTGTCTGTATAACGAGTTTCTGCGGTTTAGTTTCAAACACGTTGATGCTGCTGAGACCTTCCCCATGCGAATCGCCTTCCCTGAGCTCCTATGTTGTGACTTGGGTTTTTTCTTTGTTCCCCTTTGGCACTCCTGATTTATTGTGAGTATGGGGAGGGTCGTGACTGGAATGTTCGTGCCCCTGATCCACGCTCCCACAACTTAGAGTGTTTGGAATAGTCCTCTTTTAAGAATTGTTTTTAATGAATACCGTGCCCCAACACCCCTGGTGTGCGTCGCCTGCCTGACCTGCTCTTTGCCACCTGTTTGCCGAGTGTCTCGGTGCTTCCATGATCACAGTGTCCTGTGTTTACAAAGGCGTGAGCCTTAGGCAGTCTTTGATATGTTCATGCTCACTGAATTTCTTTATAATCATAAAACATGTATTTATTTTTAGTTACTATTTTCCCCTAGGCAGTCTTGCCCAGGCTGGAACAGAGTGGTAGTCTCGGCTCACTGCAGCCTCCGCCTCCTGGGTTCAAGCAATTCTGCCTCGGCCTCCCGAGTAGCTGGGATTACAGGCACATACCACCACATCTGGATAATTTTTGTATTCTTAGTAGAGACAGGGTTTCACTATGTTGGCCAGGCTGGTCTAAAACTCTTGACCTCGTGATCCACCCGCCTCAGCCTTCCAAAGTGCTGGGATTACAGGTGTGAGCCACTGCGCCTGGCCCAAAACATTTATTTTAGCCATGTCGTTCAACATCCTTTTTTCTGTCTAGCTGTAATTATGCCACCAGAGACTAATGGATGACCTCATGGCTTGTGCTTTATTGATCATTATGACTTTATTGATAATTCTGAATTGAGTTGAATTGGTACCTAATCAAACATTTAATATTACTATATTTAGTGTAATTATGTGTTGCAGCTCCTAAGTTAAAGACAAAAAAGGGGGCTGGGCGCAGTGGCTCATGCCTATAATCCTAGCACTTTGGGAGGCTGAGGTAAGTGGATCACCTGAGGTCAGCAGTTCGAGACCAGCCTGGCCAACATGGTGAAAACCTGTCTCTACTAAAAATACAAAAATTAGCCAGGCATGGCAGCGTGTGCCTGTAATCCCAGCTACTCAGGAGGCTGAGGCGGGAGAATCCCGGAGAACCCGGGAGAGTGAGGATGCAGCAAGCCGAGGTTGCGCCATTGCACTCCAGCCTGGATGACAGAGTGAGACTCCATCTCAAAACATGCACATGCAAAGGGCTGTTACCTTCCCGGTAGTAGCCAGAGGGGAAGAGGAGCATAGCTGAGCTGTTGGTTGAGGGCACCTGGGACAGCGCCCTCTCCATCCCCACAGGCTTATCCCACGGCCTCCCTCCCCTCCACACTACTGCTCTGGCATTACAGAGAATTTCTTTAAAATATGTAACCAATTCCGACAACTGGGATGAACTTCCTTGTGGATCGGGTCTTCGGTTCCGTGGTTGGTTCACATGGCTCCTGGGAGGACTGGGTCGGGGCATTCTCGGACAGAATGATCCAGGCTTTTGTAGCTGTCGTGACACTTGACTTTATTTTGCTACAGAATGGCTTATTTCTACCTATTAAACAGTCCCCATGAAAGCCCTTAAGAAAATTCACCTCTGAAGGATGAAAGCTGGATTTAGATTCTAAAATTTGCACAAATATTTTGTTTTTCAGGTCTTGAGTCACCACGTCCGAATATAATTCTTGGGTTAGTAATCTGCCAAAAAATAAAACGTCCTGCAAACACTGGAGAGTTAGACAAGATGGATGAAAAGCGGACCCGACTTCAGCAAGAGGAAGTGGACGTTCCAGCCTATCCGAAAGTAACCACGGCCCCGCAGTCGGACAGAAAGCCCTCCAAGTATCAGCTGTACGCTGCAGACGCGGCTGTCAGCACCACACCCCCCGGGTCCCCTCCGCCGCCACCCCCACTTCCAGAACCTCCGGTGCTAAAAGTGCTGTCATCCCTCAAGCCCGCAGCCACCAGCCCGGTCACAGCAGTCACGACAGCAGCAGCAGCAACCACGGCCGCTTCCTCCGCCGCTTCGTCTGCTTCAAAAACAGCGTCACCGCTGGAGCACATCCTGCAGACTCTCTTTGGAAAAAAGAAGTCATTTGACCCCTCTGCCAGAGAGCCTGCTGGGTCCACTGCAGGCCTCCACCAGGACCCCAAAACCACAGCAGAGGATGGGGTGCTGGCTCCTCCACTCTTAGATCCGATCGTCCAGCAGTTCGGTCAGTTCTCAAAAGAGAAAGCTCCAGAGGAAGAGGAGGACGACAGGCCCTACGACCCTGAGGAGGAGTACGACCCAGAGAGAGCCTTTGACACCCAGCCTGTGGAGCGAGGGCGGCGCCACGAGGGGGAAAGGGCTCCCGAAGCCGCCACAGCCGAGCGGGAAGAGGTGGCCTACGACCCCGAGGATGAGACCATCTTGGAAGAAGCGAAAGTGACTGTTGATGACTTGCCCAACAGGATGTGTGTGGACGTGAGAAGGAGCTCCACGGAGAGGCCTGCTGAGCAGGTGGCCGGGGCTGCCACGCCCTCCTTGGTGGAGCTGGAGGAGCTGGTAGAAGCTCTGAGCCAGCAGATGGCCGCCGTCGGGGTCTCCATGGCCCACTTCTCGGTGTCGGACGCCTTGATGTCACCACCACCAAAGTCGTCCTTGCCCAAGGCGGAGCTGTTCCAGCAAGAGCAGCAGCCCGCAGAGAAGCCCACCTCGCTGCCCCCTGCCAGCCAGGCAGCGAACCAGAGAGATCCCCGGCAGGCGAGGCGCCTGGCCGCTGAGAGTGGTGAGGGGGAGGGGGACCCTCTCTCTAGGCTCTCGGCATGGGGCACCCAGGGCACCCTGCCCACCAGAGATGCTTCCAAGGGCGCCCTTGTGGGCCAGGCGCTCACGCCAGTCCCAGAGGAAAAGGAGCTGGCCTCTTCCCCCTGGGCTTCGGGCGAAAAGCCCCTAGCAGGGCCTGAGCAGGACGGCTGGAAGGCAGAGCCTGGGGAAGGCGCCCGCCCTGCCATGGCTGGAGACAGCTCTGCCCGGCCTGCCCGGAGGGTCCTGCTGCCCACACCACCCTGCGGCGCCCTGCAGCCTGGCTTCCCCCTGCAGCATGATGGCGAGAGGGACCCTTTCTCCAGCCCGGGATTCACGGTGCAGGACAAGGCTCTCGGCCCCGGCCAATATGAGGACCCAAGAAATCTCCACTCTGGTGGAAGGAGCGGCAGCCCTGCAGGTGAAGCAGAGGGGGACAGAGAGCCACAGGCCAGATCCGGCGAGGGTACCGCCCCGCTCCCTCTGCCAGGACAGAAAGTGGGGTGCTCTCAGCCCCAGTTCCAGGGTCAGCGTGAACCTGGACCGCACGCTTTGGGGATGTCAGGGCTTCATGGCCCCAATTTCCCAGGACCAAGGGGGCCAGCCCCTCCGTTTCCGGAAGAGAATATTGCTTCTAACGATGGGGCACGAGGGCCTCCGCCAGCCAGATTTGGAGCCCAGAAGGGGCCCATCCCTTCCTTATTCTTGGGGCAACATGGGCCACCTCCTTACGGGGACGGCAGAGGCCCCTCACCCTCTTACCTTGGTGGACCACGGGGAGTGGCACCGTCCCAGTTTGAAGAACGCAAGGATCCCCATGGGGAGAAGAGGGAGTTCCAGGACACCCCATATAACGAGGTGACTGGCGCCCCCGCCCAGTTTGAAGGGACAGAGCAAGCCCCGTTCCTGGGGAGCAGAGGTGGCCCGCCTTTCCAGTTCGGAGGCCAGAGAAGGCCGCTGCTGTCTCAGCTGAAAGGACCCCGAGGCGGCCCCCCTCCCTCTCAGTTTGGAGGTCAGAGAGGACCACCCCCTGGCCATTTTGTGGGCCCAAGAGGGCCCCATCCTAGTCAGTTTGAAACTGCCCGGGGCCCTCATCCCAGCCAGTTTGAAGGACCCAGAGGCCAAGCACCCAACTTGATGCCAGGCCCCAGGGGCATCCAGCCTCAGCAGTTTGAAGACCAGAGGGTCCATTCCCCACCCAGATTCACAAACCAGAGGGCGCCGGCACCCATGCAGTTTGGTGGACCACGGGGCTCTGCACCCTTTCCTGAGAAGAATGAGCAGACCCCTTCGCGATTTCACTTCCCGGGCCAGGCCCCGCAGGTGCAGGTGATGAAGCCCGGGCCCAGGCCCCTGCTGGAGCTTCCCAGCCACCCCCCGCAGCACCGTAAGGACCGGTGGGAGGAGGCCGGCGCGCCCCCCGCCCTCTCTTCCAGTGCGCCCGGACAGGGCCCCGAGGCTGACGGACAGTGGGCACCGCCCGACTTCCGAGAGGGCAAAGGTCACGAGTACAGAAACCAGACTTTTGAAGGGAGGCAGAGAGAGCGGTTTGACGCAGGGCCCAAAGAGAAGCCGCTGGAGGACCCCGACGGCCAGGGCCGGGCCGGCGAGGACAGGCGGAGAGAGCGCGAGCGCGGCCGAAACTGGAGCCGAGAGCGGGACTGGGAGAGACACCGGGACAAAGACTCCGGCCGGGACTGGGACAGACACAGGGAGCGGAGCGCCAACCGCGACCGAGAGCGCGAGGCCGACCGGGGAAAGGAGTGGGACCGCAGCCGGGAGCGCAGCAGGAACCGGGAGCGCGAGCGGAGGCGCGATCGGGACCGGTCCCGGAGCCGAGAGCGAGAGCGGGACCGAGACAGAGACCGGGCCCGGGACCGGGAGCGCGGCCGCGACCGCAAGGACCGGAGCAAGAGCAAGGAGAGCGCGCGGGACGCGAAGCCCGAGGCCTCCAGGGTCTCGGAGGCGGGCACCGCCTCGCAGACCTAGAGGCTGCGCGGCCGGCCAGACCCTTTTAAAAGCCAGTCTCATAAAATGCGTCGAACAAATAGCTTTTGAAATAGCCACGATCTTAGATTCAGGATAGAATACTCTGGACTTGAAAATTACTGTAATTTTGTGTAAATGGTTTCTTACAAGATTTCACATCTTTACAATTCTGATGCTTTTTTTAAAAAAAAAAACCTAAACTGTGATATTTCCATTCAAAATTAAAGAAATGGAAAATTGTCTACAAAAGCATATTGCTTTTTCAGATCAGAAAGTGATCTTTTCCAGTAACTCGACTACTGTAAATTTTGGGGGAACTTCACTGGACCCTAGAGCCATACCTTTCCTGACATCTCATCTGTCTGTGTTTCCAAAAGCCGTTTTTACAGGTCTAGCGTCTGTCCGGGCAGCCGGTTTGGGTGGGAGCTGCAGGCTTCCGCGCGGAGGCAGGAGAAGGGTTAGCTGCCTGTATCTGGAGTGTTGACAAACACAAACCTTACAAATGCATCTTTCATCATAAAATCTGCATTACAATTTTCAACTGGGAAACAAAAACACATCTTAGTGTGCTCAGCTTTTGTATATCACCTTATCCATTTTTCAAAAACATGATTTAAAGCAACATCTGTCCTGGTATAAATTGTTGCATTTTAAATAACAATTTGTTGAAAAATGTTTAAGTTTTATCACCCTAAAAAAAAAGGTAACAAACCAATTAAATGTACTTTGGGGGCGGGGAGGAGTCCTTGATTTGAATAATCAGGAAGTTTTGTTCATCCAGTTTCAAATGAGCAGTTCTTCCTGTATCCCGGGAAAAGTACACTCAGCTCCAAACTGGTTATTTATCAGAGGATACATTTAAAAATTTGTCCTTGAAAGTGGAACAATACTTGTATAAAGTCTGAGATGGGAAACAGTGGTCATTAGTTCAAGAACTGCCATTGAGCTAGGGAGCTGTTCACTGTGAAACGGTCTCTTGCTTGTCAAGTATTTTTCGAGTACTTCTGAAGTGTGAAATAGAAAACATATGGCTAACTTATTTGTACAAATACACTTTGATAGTTTTTTATATTTTCATAAACTTACTTTTACAGATATGAAATTAAAGAACCTCACTTGTTCTTTGGAGTCTGTTATTCCATTGTACGTCACTACAGATATTTCACTTTATAGCGCAGATTTTTTAAGTTAAGAAAACATGGAGAATGTATCAGCTTGAGATGTTTGGTGTTAAAGCCACGTGTCCGTAGGTTAAATTACATTAAAGTAGGTGTCACGTTCCAACATCTAATATGATGCGAAGGGTTTTTTGTTTTTTTGTTTAACATATAAAGCAAATTTTTCTAATTTAAACACACAAATGTAAAAATCAAGTGTTTCTTTAGGTTTACTCGATAGAGATTTCTGTAAATTGTATTTTATATTGCAGAGGCTTATATCACTGTACATGAGAACATGCAGCTTCACAGGTGTGTTACTTGCAGTAGAATAAACAGCCACAGGCAGTTCCTGTCTCGGGTCTTCATCAGCCTTTTTCTAACACAGAAGTCTGGGGTCGTGCGTGGACACCTTGGCCACCCAGCTTCTTGCTGCTGGCTTGCCTGGGCGTGAGCAGGAGTGCCCTTTGGACCCCTCCCTGAACTCAGGCTGAGCCCCAGATGAGACTGGGTCCCCACGTCCTTCCGTCACAGGGCAGATGTCTCGCCGCCTGTTGGGACCCAGCGCCAGCCAGTTCTGGAGACAGTGGGCAGGAGGGTCAGGAGGAGGGACTCACCCCCTTCAGACCCAGTCCTGGTGCTGTCAGAGCAGAAGCCCAAAACCATCGTGGGAGCCTCAACTGCAGCGAAGGGGTCTCGTGGTGGGGGAGTGAGCCCCGAAGCCCCAGCGCATCCGAGCTGCAGCAGAATATGCGCCCGCTGACTCTGGGCATAGGCTGCTAGTGCGCCGGTGAGGACGCCAGTGGGCACGCAGGGTTGGCAGCCCAGACCCAGCAGTGCCAGTGCACAGGCGACAGGAGCCTGCAAGCTTTCTCTGGTCGCCCAGAGAGCGAGAGCTTGGCTTCCGAACAAGCATGTGGGTCCACAGCCCAGCCGTGAGCAGATGGCCAACGGGACGCTCCCGGTTCCAGTACAGCTGTTCCAGTACAGCTGTTCCAGTCAGCTGTAGAGGAAAATAGGAAGAGCCATCTCACTCGAGAACTTGGCACAGGGGCCTCCAACAAGGGGTAATGCCCAAAGCAGCAAGCATCCTCCCTCCCCTCCCCACATCAGTCATCAGTGAGTCCAGGGAGGGCGTGGCAGGGGACCATGGCTGTGGCTGAGCTCGGGGGCCCTGACCAGGAGAGAAAAGGAAAGGTCACATGAGGTGTGCCCAGACAGACGGTGACCTCAGCCCTCAGTAACCGGGCATGGCCAGCAAACAGGCTGAGCCAGCTCAAGACTGGCGGGGTGCAGGTCCCCACACGCGGGGTCTGTCTTCCTGTGGGACACCCAGCAAAAGAGAAGAGACCCAAACCCGCCGCAATATCACACCCAGCAGTCACTGCTGTCGCTATTTTGCTATTTTCCTTAACCTTTTTTTCTCTCTCTCTGCATCTAAATTTTGAGAGGATCGGGGTCCCTCCCGGAGCACGCTGTTGCCTGAGGTTTGCTCCTCCTCGGGCTGCTCTGCTGCTTCCAGCTGACCTCACTCCAGGGCTCAGGGGACCCACTTGGGGACCTTGCCATTGGCTGAGTCTGTTCCACAGGAGGCTGGGGAGGCCTGCTGGCCCTACTCGGAGGAAAACCTGAACCAACTCCATCATCCGCCTCCGTAAGCCACAGCTCCGCCTGGCATCTGGGCCTCCTGAAATGAATGTCTTTTCAGATCCAGGGTCTAGAAATTCCTAAAAGGTCTGACAAGTTCCCATCCCCACGGCACAGACTCCTGATAAACAGAGGGACATCCCTTTGGGAAGGGGCGGTAGGGAAGCTTTGGGAAGCTGCACATTTTTGGCATTTAGCGGGGTCCTCCCTCTGGGAGACCGAGTCTCTCCTTCATTCCAGGGGCCTGGGTCTGTCCAGAGTCTAGAACTTGGCCGAGGGCACGGGACTCTGTGTTGGGGCTTTCAGTCAGAACACAGGACTTCTGCTCTTGGACCTACAGCCTTTCTGCTAGCACAGGACGGGGACGCCTTTGGCAGGATGTCCATTTTTTTCAGTTCTAGGGGAGCCGTGCCCCTCGGGCAACTCGGGAACTACGTGGAGCAGATGACTGGGGTCACCGCTTCGCCGCAGCCGCAGCCCCTCACAGCTGTGCTGGGAACCTCGTACAGCCGCGTGGCTCCCACCTGCCCTGAGCGCCACCATCCCCGCTGCATTGAGGGAGCCCAGCTGCGTGGCAGCTGTTCTTGGCCCAGGGGAAAGAACGATCACGGAGCTCTTCCTGGGTGCCTGCCAGGCCCCTGATGAATCCACTTCTCAATTCACAGTCCTGGTGAGGGGGTGACCTCCAGGCCACAAGGACATCAAGCTGGTCTTACGTGATAAAACCACCCTAGCGTTCTGCTGTCCTCTCCAGTATGCCAGGAAAGTTCTGGATTTCACTTAATTTAGGGCAGGCCACCTGTGGGGCAACAGTTTCAGTGGCTGATCAAGAAAATGGAGCGGTGGGGGGTGGTCACTCCGAGCTGTTCAGTCCAACACATCAAATCCGGAATCACGTCTGGGTCTCTGCCTCACTCGTCCGGTCTTCTCCCACACTCAACATCCATTTCCACACATTCGGCCAGGTTTGGGTAGGAAGCGGATTTGTGGGCCACACTCCACAGCTTCTCTCTTGGGGCCTGCTGGAACCTCCAGTCTGGCTCTAGACCTGGAAGCAAAACAGAGGTGGTGCTGGTCCTGGGCAGGGTGGCGGTGCCTTACAGGACAGCTCCTTAGGGAAGGCACTTGAGGGTCTTCAGGCAAAGGGGTTCAGCTCCCCAGGCAGTGGTGGAAGAGCCACATGTGCCTTTGCAGGAAATGTGCGGAGTTTATGGGCAGATCCCAATGGACTTGCAGGCCTGTGGTCCTCAACTTCACTGGGATCCTCCCATATGTCCCCATTCCAATTTCAGGCTCCCACTTGTTCCCAACTTCCCTTAACTTTAAGAAAAGCAGCACTGGCCGGGCGCGGTGGCTCACGCCTGTAATCCTAGCACTTGGGGAGGCCGAGGCGGGTGGATCACGAGGTCAAGAGATCGAGACCATCCTGGCCAACATGGTGAAACCCCGTCTCTACTAAAAATACAAAAAATTAGCTGGGCATGGTGGCGCGTGCCTGTAATCCCAGCTACTCGGGAGGCTGAGGCAGGAGAATTGCCTGAACCCAGGAGGCGGAGGTTGCGGTGAGCCGAGATTGTGCCATTGCACTCCAGCCTGGGTAACAAGAGGCGAAACTCCGTCTCAGAAAAAAAAAAAAGCAGCAGTGCAAGGTTGAAACTGCAGTTCATGGTGCCATTCAATCATGGAGGAGACTAGGCTTCAGGTTTGCTTGGCAGAAATCTCAGCCCCATGGCTACAGGCAATAAGGACTTAGAGTAAGGCAGTCACAGAGGCTTTCACGCTCCTTCTTCAGACCCAGAGCTAGGAATTTAAAGCACGAGAGCTGGAGCTGCTGCAGCAGGTGCTCGTCCTGCCAATTCCTGTCTACAGCTTCACCAGCACGTGGGCCAGGGAGACGTCCCTGCCTCCCTCTTTCTTCCTCAGCTTGTTCTCTTCTCCCTTGTTCAATTTGCCCGGAAGCATGAAAGAAGAAAGTACAGGGACGCCCCAAGCCCCTCTGCTTCTGCCCACGGTCCTCACCACCTCCTCCTCCTTCCCCTGCCTCTTCAGCAGGAAGCAGACGCATATTTGGATGGTTTGATTAGATGCTGCCTCCAAGCCCCTTCTGTATAAGCCGAAGTGAGGGGAGACACTCGCCACCGTTCCTGCCGTTGGCTTTAACATGGAAAGTGTAGAAAATAAGGACACTTGTTTCACAGTGTGGGATGTTGGTGGTCTGGAAGCATTACTTCCAGCATACCCAGGGTCTTCTTCTCTTGGTAGATAGCAGTGACCGTGGGAAAATTCAGGAAGTGGCAGAGGAGCCGCAGAGAAGACTTCTGGAAGACGAGTGTGGTGACGAAGCGCTGCTGCTCTCCGCAGACAAACAGGGTTCACCCACGCACCGACCGGCCGGCAGCGGGACGACAGGTCAGCCAGGTCTTCAGTCTCTTCCTAACGGGACATGGTGCGTTCAAGCCACCCGTGCGACGCGGAGCTGGTCTGCAGGGTCCAGCCCCGCAGGGTCTAGTGGGTGTTCTTTTGTATGCAGAGACGATAGATGGTAGAAAAGCAAGAGACGAGGACACAGAGACAAGAGAAGAATTTAGCCGGGCTCGGAGGACCACTGCTGCCAGGGGCGGCATCCAGCAGTGGCCCCAGTGCCTGGATGCGCTGATATTTATTGTATTCAAGGCAGGGGGCAGGGTCAGGAGAGTGGCTCATCTGACATGATTGGTAGGGGTCAAGCAAATCACGTTCTTACAATACGGGGGGCCACGTGGGCACAGTTCAGGGGGCCACGTGGGTATGGTAGAGGGTCACGTGGGTACAGTACAGAGGGCCCCTCCTTCTCAGGTAGCCGTTGCAAGGAGGGGAGGCACCTGCGTCAGTTATCTTTCTATGCACTTATCAGAGAGATCAAAGGCTTTTAGGATTCCTCTATTCTTACTTCTCACAGCTTCTAAGAATTTACAAGGGAGCATCGGGTGGGAAAGTGGAACATGAAGGTGGACAAGGATGGTGACCGTTGGAGCACAGCACTGCGGAGAGGGTTTAAGCCCCTGGATGTCTGTGGGCGGCCTGGCTAGTGTCAGACGTGTCAGACCTTCCTCAAGAGCCGGCAGAGCAGAGTGTTCTCTGAACTCCGCAGTGAGAGGGAAACCCCCCTCATGGCCGGCTAAGTAATGGGCGCCTCCCCAGACGGGGGCGGTACCGCAAGGTGTTGACTCTCACGTCCCAATCACTTCTCACAGTGTCCCTTCAGTTCTGAATTATATTTCACCGGATTATGTCTGTACGATAAGACTAAGATGTTCCTACACCAGAGCAAAGACTAATAGAGAATAGTGATGTAATAAGACTGATTATATATTTTTTGTTGTTGTTGAGACAGAGTCTCGCTCTGTCGTCAGGCGCCAGGCTGGAGTGCAGTGGCGTGATCTCAGCTCACTGCAGTCTCCGCATCCCAGGTTCAAGCAATTCTCCTGCCTCAGCCTCTCGAGTAGCGGGGACTACAGGCGTGAGCCACCACGCCCAGCCTGATTATATAATTGATTATGTGATTGAATCTAATATCTATTTGGTGTCAGTTCTATAAGTAGCCAGTTATTTATTATGCTGGGACAGATTGTGCCTTCAGTCTCCTGTCATGGCACCTGGGCAACCTTCTTCCCACACGGTCTGGATGAGGGACTTGACTGGCTGTCAAACGAGTTTTCA